ACATTTGATATTCATGTTTACGAATACCATTTATAAATTTTTATTTTAATATACTGTTTAAAATTTGACGCAGTCATTAACGGGATCTTACTTTGGATTGTTTTATTTTCTTTTTAATTTCGATTCAGACGTAAATCTGTATATACTATATCTATTACGTACGATCCCATCTTATTAGCCTCATACATATAATGCTTTTAATTCGTAAATATTCTCGATAGAAGTAAAGATACTGCGCAAAGCGATGAATAATTGAATATTTTTGTGGTAATGAAATGCGGAGCACGGCGGGCGGCATCGGCAGCGACGTCACCCCGCATCCCGATCTAGATAAAGGGTTGTCATATCGCGCCCGACACGAAATCTAACGGATACTATCGCTTTCCGATAACGTTCCTTTGGCACGAGAATAGATTACGGTTTTTTTTTTCAATTTCTTTCGTCACGTAATCGAAGACAGCATTCCGATTATAAAGTTATGGTAGAGCATAGTTCTAGTACTTATTTTATATGCACATTGCATATAGAAATAAATTTTAACAACATTTTATAATTTATCATATCAGAGACACGGTTGAATGAAAATGTGATGCAAAAAACGGTTTACGTGGAATTTTGGACAAACCAAACCATTATGAGACCTATCTCTACTAGATGTCAAGTAATGATGCTTTCTTCAATTCAGACTATTGATTTTTTTTATTTTCAATATAAATGTATAAATTTCATAATATTAAGATAAATGAAATAAATACATATATATAACTTAAACAAGAAATGTTTAGGTCTCTTTCTGGGAAAGTAACAGAAATCATAGTTGAAGTATGAAATTAAAATAATTTTGAATCTTGTACACAAAATTTAACCCTGCTCAAGCAATTATTTTTGTTAAAAAAATATTTATTTCGAATAACATTTCAAACCCAATATTATTATAAATTTTAGATAATTTTATGAAAAAGTACGAAATACTTAATAAAAAAATTTCGGTATTACCTACATACACATATTATACATATGACCTATATATTTAAAGAGTCAATATCTCTATCCCTCATATCTTTCTAACCCAAAAGTTGGAGCCTGGGAAAGATTGCCTAGCGATAAGACCGCCTTTTATACTACTTTAAGTTGTTTCTTAATTACATTAAATTGTTTAAACTTATATTTTTTCGTAACACCTACTGAAATTCACCTCATTGAGGTTGTTCTTATATCAGCAACAGCTGAGGCAGCTCCTATTGCCAACTTTGTATGTTGTTCTTTCTTTTATTTTGTGTAATCTTTGTAATTTGTTGATAAAAGTTTTATATATCTAAATACTGCAATATATAAATAAATATTTCCTAGTTATCACTAACACCTATTACCTTAGAATTCCACTCGGTATAAACACAATGATAAACCCTATGATACATAAATATTATAAAAAAAAGACTACCTCAAGATGTCTAAGGTTCTGATCTTTTCACTAAATATATAAAAGGGTGTGTAAATCAAAGCGGCTCGCGGCGGTGTAATGCGATGCTCATACAAATCGGCGGATCCTACAAAGCTTTAATTTTGACCGCAAAATGCCGCCAATGATATCAATTATATAAAAAAATGTATTACGGATCTATCAACTCACTTTGCTTAACGGCATTCATATACGAGGATCTTACTTCTACTTTTTGGCTGTTAAATAAGGGATAGTATTAAATAATTAAATTATAAGATTAGCTTAAATTTAGTACTAGGGATACTAATAGGTATCAAGTCATTAATATTATCAATAATTTGATGTGTGAATACTCAAAATTTTTGTATGACATTACAATAAAAATGAAGCTGATATACCACCTTAAATAATTATTTTTCAGTTTGTTAATGCATAATTACCAGGCTATATCATTTTAGTTTTTAAAATGACGTACGTGGTATGTTCATGATTAGGAGCATATATATGCAGAAAATATGTCAGAATAATTGATAATTTGTTGACTTTTCTACTTAATGTTTCCTCAAGATTGATTTAGAATATTAATGTATGGAATGTTATATTGTACACCTGTATATTAGTTATTTAAAACGCTCATCACGCTCTATGCATAATTATATAAAAATAGTAAGTCTTCTGCGTGGGTAGGTCAGTCTCACCTATTTCAGCCCCCAAGCAGCATGCTTTGCAAGCTGTGTATCGGTTCGAGGGTGAGTTATGATAATGAAATTACAGACATGTCATCTGAGTACTCGCCAATCACACATGAAGGATAATGTTCATAGTGCATTTCATGAGTGCAGTTTATACTCAACGGTTGCCATTTACCATCAGCTTATCCAGTTACATAAAAGCATTTTAATTATAGTTTATGTACACAAGTTTACGGTTGAGGAAATATTCCAAAAATGTATTCATTCTGTCTTACCCTAAAGCCTACATGTTGGCTGGTTTTGAATAATATTACAAATTGCTTTAATACCACATCAGATAAATATACTCTCTTGACTGTTACCGTTGTGTTGGTATATAAATATAAAAATAGTTACTTATTTGCTATATTGTTATAGTCAGCACAGACTTTGTATTCTTTTAACGTTTTATTGTTTGTAAACGCGATTGGAATAAAACACAAACTTTTAAGTAACGCTTGATATGGTTCGATTTGACCTATATACTCGTATATTCCATGTTCTAATGGTAAAGCATAGCCCGCCGGATGTAACGTAATATTTTATAAGAAATTGTGCAAATTCAGCTTCAGAAATTATTCACACCAGCTTAATGATTTCGCGTAATATCATCAAGAGTACATCATGAGTAACCTCATGTTGTCCAACTCCATATTGACATAAATTTTATCTATAAATAAGCCTTTTTATAAAAGAAAATAAATAACAATGTAGGAACCTATTAGTAATGATAGGTATAAGTTCATGATATGGATGTGTAATTTGTAAACTACCGGTGTATTCGGCGACTGTTTCTGCCCAGCTAAGCCCCGCCTAATGGAAATGACAAGACTAATGTAACAACTGAAAACATTCCGTTGGACGGATCTAACAAAGCATTCATTTTCTGATGGCGGTAATCTCGCCGAAGGGCGGCATTGTTCATGTTTTTTTTTCCTGCGAATTTTTTCGTATTTTCTCTACGAAAAGAATAAAAATACTGAACAGTATTGTCGACGCCGACGCTCGCGCCGTGATCGCGCAAAAAGGAGCCCTGGATGACAACGAAATGACGGGAACGTCCGCGGGTGGCCTCCACCCCTCCCCCTCTTGTAAAAATGTCGCCCGGGGAGGAACGGCATGCCTACGACAAGACGGCATTTTTGCACACCACCACCGAACCGAGAAATCCTATACACCGTTTAGGATCACCTGAAAATGAACTGTGAGCAAAGGCGGCAAGGGCGATTACCGCATGAAAACCTAGGGATTGACTTTTTAAAACTGAGTTGTGTTTGCGATAAATCGATAAGTATATACATACACGGCAAGAGACGAGGGTACAAATTGCACGGATTTTACAGCTCTTTGTGTTAACAGAGCTAGGGGAGGGGCGTTTAGCGGTTTCCGACGGCTGTTTCAGGAAATAAAAAAATTGTCCCGAACTCGATGATAAGTAATCATTGAAGTTTATATGAGAACGAATCTTTCTATAACGAAAATTTTATATAAGAAAATTCCTTGTTAGAAATAAATAAAAACAAAACGTAGTAGGTATGTTAACAATTTTACGTACGTGTTGTAAAAAAATAAGTATTATTTGAAAACTGTGTTTTCAAATGACACATAAATATGATGTTCAATTTTATCTTAAATAAGTCGTGTTTTTTTATGAAAACATTAGCCCGATAACAATGCTGACTATGATGACCTACCAGGGTTTAAGTGAGGATTCGTATATTTTCTTTCAACCGTATTTTTTAGGATATTTACCTACAAGAAAATTATAACACGTAATATCGTTCAGTACCTATATCGTATCGTACCTATATTTTATTTCTTGCATTAGGTATATCGAGCAATTGATTATTCTTTTATATCTTGTACATTTCAAAAATGAAGTAAATATGATAGTATATATGGTATCTTTAGTGTCACTACTAAATAAATTAAATAAGCAGCTTTTGCTCATGTTATTTTAAAGAATCTTAGGTACTTGTATGTACACCGATTAAATCTAATCATAATCTCTTATTGTTTATTAATATGAATGCACGACTGAATACAGCATCGAAGCATAGCAAATAAATGTATAAATAGGAATATAATTATTATGTATAATGAGTAGCCTCAGAAAAAAGTAATTGCACACCATACAATACAAATCTATACCTAACCTATATAGAATGGTGTTATAATATCTTAGAATAGATACAACTTTATATTAGGAATATTATTTGTAATACGCTTTAGAAAGAAATTATGGCACGTGGTGGAATATAATGCCAGTTTGTATCTAGTTAATTAAATTAATTAGGTACATATATCATCAGTGAATAAAAGCTGCTTATATTTTATTTAATTAAATTTATAATACACAAGCCATATTCGCGAATTCAACTGTTCATTCTATATTTCTATATTCTGTACATTCATTGAATAAATATTGCCTATTAATAATATAAAGCCATTATTAATTGTAATTTTTATTCAAATAAAGGTATTTCATAAAAACATTGCAAATCTTTAAAGAAATATTTAAATATCTGAACTATAATTGTCATACTCAATTGACATGTTATTGAAAATACAGATTCTAGTGTGTCAACACCAATATCTGTATGACCATTGAATGTTACCACTGATAAGAGAATAATGTTTCAACTAAGGTCTTTTAATCAACAATTCTAAATAGGACGCCATTTAGGCTAAGCATCTATATGTTTAAACCAAGAAGGCTAAAACAACCTTGGTGCTTGGAATAAGTTAGAGAGATGTATCCGTGAAGATAACTTTATGGTACTGGTAAATTAATTACCTAAATCATAGAGATAATAATTATTTTGCAGATCGCATTGGCAAAATTCAAATAGAAAATTACTTCAGCGACTACCCCGAACTGAAGAAAATGGAAGGCGCAGCGGAATACATCTCCACACCGCCGAAAGTGACGCCAGAGAAATTCGAGAGACCAATTTTTGGTAAGTTCCTTATTATTTTAATATTTTTATAACTCTGTAAAAAATATGAACTACATGTACACGTAAAACATAAAAGTTTTATTGTAAGTATTTAGGTATATAAAAATAATGTTACAAAATGAAAATAAGTTTCAAACAAGTATACCAACTTAAAAATAATTATATTTCCCACATTAAAGAACACACTCGTACCTAACTACTCAAACAAACTAGATGTGCGCAGACGCATCACAGTCGATCGCACCCGAAAGCATCTACATATTCAAATTATCAGATACGTCGATCAAGGCGCGAACAAAACACGTCGGCATTATGCGCCCGCGCCGGGCTTTTTGCCCGTTGTAAAATTAGAAGTATTAATTCGTGTTACTACAAATGTAAGCTTTTGTTTGTGATGCGTACGCGCATCTGCCCTCTTGTGATGCTCGATTGTATGGAATCGGAATTATATTTCATGTGTAGATGTTTTTTCTACAGCCGGTGTTAACTGTACGGTTTTGGTTAACACATGAACGATTGTTGTCTGTAGTCGATCTATATGTATAATGTTCTTATACTCAATGCCTTTATGATGACTATTCTAAGGTATGGGGTCTATCTGTATTTTAATCTAAACTGTCTTCTAACTGCAATGTCGTTATTTTTTTTATAATATGTATAGTGATATCGAGCACTAATGATGTACCTACATAGGCACCAACTAAGTGACACGTTGAACAAGAATTAAGCATGATGCATGATTTGCAGAATAGGCGCACATATCAACGAATATTGATTGCTTGCTTTCGGGCAAAAGTCCAATTATGCACGAAATTTACCATTTTCGTGTTTTATTTAAACGCATTAATTTATGTAGGTACAGTATTTAATCTGTTTATTTGATACTTATAAAGCTGATGCATACAATAAAGATATTTAATTAATGAGTTAAATATTACCTATTGCTTAAGTTAGTCGTAATGTTGTGTCGTAACGACATAGCATTACGACTGATGACTTCGCTTCTTTTGTGGTGCTTAGCCTTGATTTCGTGCTTATTCACATATTTTGTGAGACAATATTTATTTAAAAGAGTAAGAGACAAGTTTTATCTTCATTCTTTTTAGCTGTGACTGCATTCTTAATAAGGGATGAAAGAGTGTTTAAATGTAAGTTTATTTGAATAGAAATTATTTCGATTCTATAAAAATTTTTTTGTCAATTCATATTTCTTTAGGCAAATTTAATATGTAAAACATATAATATAGGTATATCTTAACAACTGTTATTATATGGAGTAGTCAGAGATATTGTTAACTATAGACGTAGTGGTGTACTCAATACTTGGCATACTTACATTTCGCTCTATATATTTGAATCTATCGCGATAACGTCGGGACTACTGCGAGTCTCGGATTAATTTGATTTGGTTTCTTATCAGCGTTTCAATCTCCGCAGAATCAATTGAAATATACATGGATACAAAGTTCTGTAGTGTTTGCTAAATTTGAACTGACGCCTTTTGAATGTGTGATTCAATCAATATATTTAAAAAATAATTTGTTTTTCTGAATAACAGACAAACTTCGTGTTTTCTATAAATCTATGGCTACTAACTTACTCCATTTTTTTCCAAAATTATTTCACATATTGGGAAATATTTTTGAAAAATGTAACAATAAAGTTGGCAATTTCGTGAATTCGTTGCATTTTTCGAGTTTCGAGTGGTATATTATCTATATATACTTTTTTAATTGTACCTTATATTTATAATGTTACATTAAACTGGATCTTAGGTAGGTTCCTTAGAGTTTGCTAATTGTTCAACGCTTGGAAAATTAGATTAACCTGAAGATGTTGGCGTAGGCGCGCGTGTGTGCGTTACTCGCAACGCCGGCTAAAAGCTGCTACACTTCGGCCAATCATCACCTCTCGTGTGAATTGTAGGCGGAGTTTACACCCGACGCGTCAACCACGCGATCGATGTGGACGCGGACATTTCTTTTCAAACCAAATCCAAGATATATATATATATATATATATATTATGCCACATTCATAATCGAAAAAATATTCTAATAATATTTGTATGAGAGTAAACCCTAACGATTGCGAATATTGTTGAAATAAGTTCAACGTGTGTAGTAAATTATTACTATTAATACAATTTTGTCATTCTAGATTTAGATGTGTCTAAAGTAGCTAGTTAAAACTCTAATTAATATAATATATTTTGTAAAGTCAATATATATTCTTTAATTAGTGATATTTATAACTATTATGCTTTTATACACCTTCCATTTTTATTGTCAACAATATATACAAATATTCTCTTAAAACTAAAATTAAAATATATTAAAAATACAACAAACATTAATAAAAAATTTATTATCTTTATTTATTATAATTTATAACTGTATAATTGTATATATTGAGATCCAATTTTGACATTGTTAAATGTAATAAGATAGGTATATAAAATTCATTATTGTATATAATTTTATATTTCTTATTCTATATGCCACGACAAAAGTATAGCTCGTTAAACTCAAGAATCCATTCAAGTTTGTGTTCCGGAAGCTCCAACTTGTGGTACAACTTAATTAACTTGGTGGTACAAAAAGATGTATTAACAAACTTGAAGAACTACAGCTTCCCAATAATTGCGCAGCTCTTGATAAACTTTATTAAAAACATGTAATATTGAATGTTATTTTTGTTAACGTTTTATAAAATAATTATTACTTGACAAGAAACTAAATATATATAAAAAAGCAAAATTAATTGAAAAGTGATAATATATAAATAACTGGCTTTTATAGCATCTTTTTTATTTTCATATATTACCTGACAGTTATATTAAACTTTTGTTAAATATAGTTTATATTAGGAAGATATATATATATTTTCAACATAAATTATATTTTGATTATATATATAAATGAAACTTGTTGTTGTTATTGAATCTCTGCTTAGACATTAACGAAGTCTATATCTAAGTACCTTATACGTAGTTTAGAGAGATTCTTTAAACCACCCTGTACCACTATACAAGAGCAAAAAGTGAAAACGTGACATTTTCCTCTACATTTAGGCACCTAAACCGTTTGCAAACAGAACTGAGAGCGGAACGCGAGTAAATGAACAGGGGGTAATGGGGGCCCTAAACAAAAGGTGCGAGCCCCTACCCCCCTACTCTGGATCGACCCAGCCTGAAGGGTAGGTGCTGCAGTAACCATGATAGCTTTTTGTTGTTGGAAATTTAGTATATATTTCCTATGTTGGTAAAGATGAAATGCACTTTTATAAATCTAACGTACAAAATGGGTATATCAGTCCCGATGTTTTTAATCTTTTAAATGTCATACACATCCTAATGATAACTAGAAATGTTGTATAAGAGAATGGGCTAAAGGATATAAGAATTATATGTTAATCAAAAATTGCTGACCTATGGTAGTATATATTCGATGATAAAGACGGATGATGTTACTTTATTAAAATAAAAATATAGAGCTTGTACAAGTATAAGTAGGTATAACAAAATATAAATATAATAACAATATATCCTTACGGCTATTATCCCAGAGGAAGTCAAGGGCACTAGCAACTGTAAGTGTCGTAATGAACGCTACTCTTGACATGTCATAATGTCTCATGCATGATGTAATTAAATATATGTTTGTACGCACTTACACAGTATATTGTAAACAATAGAAATTGTATAACTGTTTTATTAGGAATAGAAATGTTTGTATAAAACGTCTTCAGGGATGGAATAAGTAACTATCAGTTTATACAACATTTGTGGAAACTCTTGCTTTGGTCAATGTACAATTAATTGTTTAGTAATAGCGAGGAGTTACTGTATGGGTGTAGGTAGGTACATAGTCATCAGTATGGACCAATAAGTTTATTGAAAACAACTCCATCCGCAATCCAACCGTAGGTATGCAACCCCTACAGTCAGGGTGGTTGTGCTTTTTCGCAGCGCGTGTCACTTGTGCGGCGGGGCGCGGGCGCGGCGACCGACACGGCGGGCGTCGGGATCCGGCGTCCGGGCGCCGCGTTGCCATGACAACGACACCGCGACACCCGGCCACCCCCCCCGTACCCTTCGGCTCACGGCCGCCACGCAAAACTCTCCCTTACCGTCCACAACATAGAAGCCACGATGCTCACTTATATACACAACAAGGGGGCGCCACATAAGGGGTCGACTACATAAGACGATACGGTCAGGCGATGTAAATAACGCGAGATAACTTCGAGAGGGTCTAATGGAATAGGGAATCGTGTTTTGGAAAGTGCCCCGGAGAGAATGTTCTGGGTTGTTAGCCTCGACTTCCATGTTAAGTGAAAGTCGATATAGGGATTAGGTCTGCGGAATTTGATTATTCAAACGTTCGTTTAATAGTGTCTAATTGCTGAGGGATGCTATGCTTTGATTTGTACGACTCTAACGTATTAATGTTACTCCCCTACGAATTAAATATTCATGTTAATGTCCGTCCCGTATGATGTATGTATCATTTCGTTCATTACACTCAAATATTTCGAAAGGATTAGATAAATGATTAAGTAACTACTTATGATTACTACTTCTCATAAAATTATATAAAATGAATATGTAGATACTTTCCTTAAAGCTATTCAGACCATAGGGCAAATCGCACTTGCTACTTTTCACTTTAGCGATTTACTATTTAGTTAAACTTTATTCGGTACTATAGGACAACCAAACAGTTAAGATTAGCAAAACTACTCGAAAACAAAGTAGTTAGAAGTTTTCTCGTTCTTCTTTTGATAAGTCAGTTCGGAAATGAGTGGTAGATAAAAAAAATACTTGACTTATTAAGTGTTTATTTTTTATTATTAAGTTTATTTGAATGAAGATAATTTTTATATCTATTCAAATCAAGATTTGTAGATCTATAAAAGAGTTGGTGGTAGAAGGGTTTAATTTAAAACCCGTGGTTGGTACCCTAATAGGACTTTATGTAAAAATTTGAAAGCTTTTGT